AGTCCAAAATACCATGCAAAAGTGGAAACTTTGGTGTGGTAGAACTTATAATCATTTATTTTTGTGATGTTGCTCTTTAGTTTAAAGGAGATGGCGGCTCCTTCACACAATGTTGAGTTGGAGGCGGTAAAATTTCTGCAAAAACTCATTCAAGATTCTACTGATGAGCCATCAAAGCTGGCTACGAAACTTTTTGTGGTATGTGTAATTTTTAATCAATCAATGGCCTTCATTGTACCCTTGAGTTCAAGTTTTAATGACATATATATCTACATATTCTGATATTTATTACTTTTGAGTGTCTCAGATACTGCAACACATGAGAACAAGTGGAAAGGAACATTCAATGCCATATCAAGTTATATCAAGGTGAAACATTTTTATTCCACTGTCTTTTTCGACGGTTGTTATGTTTTTCTTGCTTCTGATTCCTTATGCATCTGAAAATCATTTAACTTAGAATAGCAATGGAAAATGCTTTTGGATATAGTTGGAATATATTGGCCACCAAAAAGAAAAAAAAGAAAGAAGTTGAATATCATGTATTACAACATAGAGGATGATTTTGCCAATTTTTTATTTTTTTAAATAACTAGTAGGATAGTAGATTAATAAAATAATTGATCTAGTAAATGAACTTAATCTATGCTTGGACTGCTTTTTATTTTTATTTTTATTGAGTTTATAAAGGCATGAGAGATCTTGTATACCTTTTATAGTAGTAAAATGAAACAAAGGAAATATTTTGGCTTCATTCAGTTAGCAAAGTAGATTTTAATATTTTATTAACCGTTAATATTATATCCCATTATGTGTGAAGGCATTAATTGTTTAGGACATGAGGTAAATACTAAATAGCACTTATTTAAGTAATGGAATTAGCCAAAGGTCTTCAGGTTTGGCACTCTTTCTCAAACTCTTCTCTTTTTGTCTTTAACTTAACTGGTGTTGAATTAAGAAATCTAAAGTTCTTCTTGCATTGAGAAATTGATTTTAAAAGGCACCCTCTAGTCCACAACTGTTCCTTATTTGAATTCTAGGATTTACTTCATAATTGGGTGTTAAAAGTACACAGGTTGATTTTAGTTAATTACTAGTAGAAATCAGGTGTGTCAATCTCACCTAAATATTCAAATTGTATTATGTCATGTGTTTTTCCTCTCCAATTCTCTCCACTTATAATCTCTTTTGGTATCTGCCACTAATTGCATTGGTTTCTCATTTGATAGACCCTCCTTGTTCTACTTCTGTATCTTCTGCATCTCCACAGTTGCAATGCAACAGGAAGCTTGACTTTACTGTCAAAGAGCTTGTTTCTTGTTTTAACTGTTGTCAGCTTTAGCCTTATCTTTTAACTTTTCTGAGATAATTTTCCTATTTCAGGGCCATGGAGATTATTGTAAATCAACATGGTCTGGATATGGAGGCTTTGAGGTCAACTAGGATTCCTCTGACTAGTGGAGCTCAGATGGGAGATCCTGCATCATCTCAGTATGCTGGTAAATTCTTGTTAATCAAGATGCTCTTTAAGGTTTTTGAAAGTTCATGGCATGCTGGAACTCTGTTTTTTTCTTTCTCTTTCTTTTTTTTTTTTGTTTCTCTTTTTTTTCCCCCTTTTCTTTTTTTGATGAACTTGAACATTTTTCCAGGATCTTCCCAGGCAATTGGAGTAGCAAAAGCTTCTGAAGCTGGTTCAGCTGAAAATGAGATGTCTAAATTTGCTGCACTTTCTCTTGATACGGTACCAAAATAACTATGATTCCTTCATTGATGTTTTACTTGTTTATTAAAGATCTCGGTTGGCAGGAGATTTCCCTCCTTTTTACCAAACTTCTACCCCTTATTTGGTGATTTGAGCCTATTTTGAGATTTGGAACTTCAATGCTCAAACCTTTGGACGAATAATACTTCTTCTCAAGTTCAGGTTTTTCATTCGATCATTAGTTGGTATCTTCGTTCTTTCATTTTAATTTCTTCTTTTTTTCAAAGGAAATGCGAGATAGTCCGATTTTTATGTTTTATTGTATCACGTTAACACCTCTGCCTGAATTATGGAGATGATTGCCAATTAAAAAGTTGTTTCAAGTATAGGGAGATTCTCGGCAAAAGCCTAACAATAGCC